AAAACAATAATAGTAAAGTAACTTTTACCTTTAAAACGTAAAAGTAATGTCTGTTTTGTTTTCTCTATATGTATCTAAAGGCTGTACACAATTAGGATGGCTCTGATACTTTATTATACTGTTGCAAAGAAATTAACATGCATTTTTATGTGTATTTTATTAAGCATGTCTTTTGTTAGCTATTAAAAACAGAAGAAGTCTGAACCTTACAAGTCACTATTTATGGAGACAATCTCTTATTTCACTTTTCTGTTAGTTTGACAAAACTCAGACTTGTTGGGTTTTTTCTGTATAAAAAAAAGTAATACATATTGCATGTACCTTTACAGCAAAGAAAATGGAGAATTGTGTGCTCACAAAGTTATGTGTAATGAATTAATCTAGTTGCTTAATTCTGGGCTCATTTATATAACTTATGCTTTGTTATACAGTCTTCTGTGTTTATTACGTTCTTAAGTATGACCATTTTCATAAGGTCTGAGATGGATCCTGTGGATATAAAAGTGGAACTTGGACCTAAAGAACTGTTCAGTATCACAAAACTATTGGATAAGGTAAGGATGTTATATATGATTCAATATTATGTAAATAAGTTTGCATTTTTAACTTTAATAGCAGGAGAGATGTTTTTGTGTATTTGTAGTTTTACAATGCTTATTAAGACAGTATATGGTGTGACTCATTTGTAAAAAAAATAATGTCATAGGTGATTTAATTGTAAGATTAACCGACAGCTGATTTGGTGATTTAATTTTTAGGGAAAGTGATTGCTGGAATTTACTTTTGTTATGGATGATTTAATTGTTAGATTTGTGTGAAAGGACACACACACAATGCTTAGATTAGAGTTTGAGTTTATTTAGCAGATACATACACCTGTGATAATATCTAGGTGTTAAAAATATAAGAATCATCTTCTACCCAGAAAAAAAGAGTCAACTGAAACAACCACTCCCACTGAATTTAACCTTTGGCATCCATATATGTTCCTCTCCAATAAAAAGTTAAACAAATATAAAAGGAGGAAAAGCTTTATACCAAGCTATTCAACAAGCTTTTTATTTCAACACAGAAGTATCTATCAGAAACAGGCTATAATATATATTTATTTTACATTTATGAAGAACAAGGGGCTTTCTGTTGGTCCATTGAGGCTTTCCTGTTCAATAGTCTAAAGTTTTCAAAAAACATTTAAAGCCAGATCTTATCATTTAAATGTTTATCATGCTTTCTTTTAAACTCCCTTAATTTTACTGCATTCCCCACATTTGAAAGCAAACCATTCCAAAGGCCACCCACCCTGTTAAAAGAAATAAAACTGTCTTAGCACAAAATGGCTCCTATCTTGCCAAAGTTTATATTTATATCCCCTATTCCTTCCATTCTTATCATTAAGGGGGAAAAAAGATGATGCATCAACAATTTCAATTCTCATTATCTTAAACACCTCACTCAGACCCCCCCCTCTAACTTTTCATATTTCAAAAGATCTTAACCTGTCTTCATATGACGACCTTTTCATCTCAGGTATCATCTTAATAACCTTCTTCTAAATCGTTACTAATTCAATGTCTCTCCTAAAGTTAAGGAGCCCGAGACTGAAGAAAATACTCCAAATATGGCATAAGCAGGGACTTACACAATGAAATTATGACTGATTTAAACTTACATTCAGTATTTCTGAAGATACAACCTGAAATCCTATTTGCTCTACTACTAGCAACAGCACACTGCTTGAATGGCTTAAGAGACTGATCAATCAGAACACCAATATACTTTTCTTCTGTAACACTATTAAGACTATTCTCATCAAAATTATACTTATAATTCTGATCGTGATATCCCAAATGCATTATCTTGCACTTATTACAATTAAAAGCCATCTGTCATTTATTTGCCCAACTTCCCAAATAATCTAAGTTCTTTTGTAAAATAGCAGCATTCTCCTCACAGCCAGCAACAGATCAAGGGTAATAGTGATATTTGCTAATAAATTAATAGATGGCCAAATTAATCAATTCCATTTGAATATTTGATTAGCACAGTGTTCTTTAAACACTGGTATGTATTAGCAAAGAAATTTTCATGACAATTGCTACCAGCCAGTTATCTTTCCTCTAGTTATCAGTTCAAGAAGAAAATTAAAAGTTAGAGGCAGGTGCTAACAGACAGTCTCCTTTCTTTTAGTCAGTAGTTCAATATTAGTGATGGTAACAGATAGCCATAGTAGCTTTGCCATAAACAAAGACAAGACAAGCAAGTTTGGTGATAATGAAAATAAAACCTAAGACTCGAATCATGAGCCATCCCACACCCCTCAAATCACTAAAGCTGAGCAAGCAAAGTAAAAAAAAAAAAAAAAAAAATCAGGCTAATTTTAGCCTGATTACAGATAGCCTATTATGTAGCTCTGTGCTTAACAACTAACAAACATAATATCAGTATTTTGATTATTTATATAGTTAGACAAATCAAAAATAGTAATAATTGTAATTTTGTTTATTTAATCTTATTTCGTTTAATCAATTCGTTTATATAACATATAATTGTTGCTCGTAAGTAATTGATTATATTGATTAAATTTTTCAGTTCTAGACTCAATACCTTAATATTATCAATGAGTTTAAGTAATTTATTGACCATTCCTTCATCTACATCATTGGTGTAAATCAAAAAAAAGCAAAGGTCCTAACACTGAACCCTAAGATACCCCACTTGTGACATTAATCCAGATGGTTGAATTCCATTTGAAAATCCAGATACAACATATCCATACTCGTACCTTCATCTACGTAATCAGTAACCTTGTCAAAGAATTTTAAAGCTTTAGTTAGGCATGATTTTTCCTCTAGTTATACCATATCTTAAACTTTGTTAAAGGACTTTGCAATCATTTTTCTATCAGACTTTTAAAAATTGTTTCCAACACTGACATGACATTTGTAGGCCTATAAATACTGGGACAATTTTTATCACATTGGCCAACTTTCAATTTTCTGGCATCTGCCCACTATTCTAGGACCTACAAAAAAGTAATAGCTTAGCTCACAAATCCAGTCCTTAATCTCCTTCAAACCCTTAGGAAAATAATATCTGGCCCATGAACTTTATCAGTTTTTAAATTTCACAATTTTTATTCTTAAATTAACATGCTCAAAATTATTGTGATCATCTTGTTTGATACTGTTTCTATCTAACAGGTGTTCAGGATGAGGAATATTACTCAGGTCTTCATTAGTAAAAATTGGTGAAAAAAAATAGGATTTAATAACCTACCTATCTCAATTATCAGATATGACCCCCCCCCAGTAGCAGACTGTGAACTTGCAACACTAGAAACCGGGTTTCGATACCACTGGTGGGTAGAGCACAGACAGCCTTTTGTGTAGTTTTGTGCTTAACTACAAACAACCAAACATATATGAACCTTATCTCTCAAAAACTCTACTCCTGACATTTTGTTTACTCTTAATGTATTTAAGAATTTCTTACTTTTAATTATTACATTTTCAGCCAACCTTTATTTTTTTTATGTACATTTTCAGTTTCCTAATTTCATGTTTGACCAACTCTTTTTATCTATAATTCTCTATTCTCTCGTTGTACCAAATAATTTAAACTTTTTAAATTTAAACTGCTTTTTTTTAATTTTATCATTTATACCTGTTGTGAGCCATCCTGGTTATTTACTTGTAGATGCCCTTTTTTCTATAAGATATATATTTACCTTCAGTGTTTAGAAATTTATTTTTAGAATTTGTCCACATTTGATTAGTATTGTCTATTAATTCAGTAGCCTAATTTTCAAGAGATAATTCTTGTCATCCCTTCAAAAGTTTCCATGTTGAAATTTCTAACCAAAATTTTGTCATTCTTGATCTCCATATGCAGTAAAACATCAAACATAATTGAGCAATGACCACTTGCACTAAGATGTTTCTAAATCTCAACAACCATTTTGATATTAGAAGTTGACAATAAATCTAAAAGAACATTTCTCTTAGTGGCTTTTCTAAGCAATTGGTTAAAAAAAAAACACCCTAAATGGTTTCTAAAAACCTGTCTTTGACTCTTAGCATTTTCCAATCTATATGCTTCAAATTGATATCCTCCATAATTATGACCTCATTAACAGCTGAACTCTGTATATCACTGTAGAGTGACTTGGGGAGGGGGAGTGTAGAGTTTTAATAGTGCTCCTTTTTAAACATCAGAATTATTAGTGTTAGCATATATTTTATGTTTCATGTACTCTGTCTAGCACATTTCTTCTCTAATGCCTTGTACACTGGCCATTCAGTTCAATTTATTGAAACAATGCAACTGCTAAACACAACCCCATATACTACCCCATAATGGTCTGCTCGAGTGCTCGGAAGGAGCTGTTGCATATAAAATTTTGGTAGTGTGTGTTTTTTGTTTAATATAACAACTTTTGTTTAGGCAATGGATATTTATACAAATCAAAAGATTGAATTTTCTGAGTGAGTGGCATTATTATTCAAACATTATCAAAAGGTTTCTTTTAACAATAGAAAAAGAAAACTTGACACTGCTTGAATACTACCTGATGAAATTTTGAATGTTTAAAATTATCTTCTTATTCCTGGCTAGCAAATGAACCTTTGACCACAGCATTACTGTGATACGTAATATCCTTGCAGAATAGAAGCACTTTTCCCTAAGTTCAAATAGTATTTGTCATTTGGAAATAAAGTTGCTTAGTGTGTAAATTATCCTTGAAGTATTTTCAGTGTGTAAGTAAAAAAAAAATCATGCACACATACACATAAACAATGACAAAACCAGTCATGACCTTTGTTTAAAAAATAAAGAAATTGAGAAGACAAAGTTATTTTTCCCAAGTGTATCACCATTTACCAAATGATAGATGAAACACGAAACCTAACGTACTATAGCTTTGGTCATATCTGTTACGTCTGTTTCTAACAGTGCAGCCCTTTGTATGGTATCCTACATTGTGGCCTTATAAGTGCATTAAGTATACTTTTCTGTCTCAATTAGAAAGTTGGAAGATTCACGTACACCAAACCTAGTCAATGTTTCTTTCTTTGAATAATTTTCACTTACAAAAATCCTATTGATGAACAGAAGGGCTCATAATCAAAGTATGTTCAATCACCTTTGCTATAATCAGACTTGAAATAATGAACATAATATATCATCACAGATGTGGTAACTAGATAAGTGCAATGACGTAAATAAACAATTTTCCCCTACACAAAGCAGTATATTGCAGATTTTAATTGACAATTAAATCTCATTTTATACTGAAAAATGACCTCTCATCTTGTACCGAGACAAACCCACGTAGAGAGACAAAGAAGACGAGTAACGTGGATACTGCTAGGTATAGCTCGTAGCGCAAAAGGAAACCAAGACGTGCAGCAGCATATATCAATCATTTAGGTGTTTTACCAACGTGGGTAATATAACTAGTGCAAGAAATATATTATTTTGCTCAATGGTTCAGTAAATGCAGTTGTTTTTTTTTTTGAAAAATCTTTTACTTAAACAGAGAATATAGATACTTGTGTTTCTTAAGGTGGACTGGACAGAACCATGGATCATCATGCTCTTGGTATTTCATGGATTCGTTACTGTCTTGGCTGTAGCGACTCGTAATCATGGAAATATTCAAGCAGCTTTATTTTGCATACTATGTAAGTATTAATTTTAAACATTACGTCCTTACGTAACTTAGTGTTAAAAGATCTCCAGTGTACCTTTTTCTATGAATAGAGATACTGGATAATAGTTTATTTTTTTTTATATATTCAATTTTTTAAAAAAAGTTTCATCAAACTGCTAAAAATAGTGAAAAATGTTTAGATTAGAGTTTTTTAAAGTGCAATTTGTTTTAAATTTCTTTCTAAACTTAAGAAAATCTAGATGTTAAAAAGATTTGCAATGATTTAGGCTTAAATTTGTGAAGAGTTATTTTAAACTAAAAATGAAACAAATTTGAAATTTCTGAAAAGTATGAATATTACTATTGTGCTAGAACTTTTTGTAATACAGAAACTGATAAATCTCGTGCTTCTTGTTGTTAGTCCTAGTTTTATGGAAAACGACTGTGCAAAACGTTCTTTCCATGTATATTAAATACTTAGAGATTACAATATTCATAACAAAAAATACAACTTCAATAAATATTCAAACATATACCATGATAAGTCATCAGTTATAACCCTTATTAAAAAGTTTATATGTGAAAAAAATAATTATGATAAATCAAGGAAAGTTAAAAGATATATGACAATCTGGGAACATTTTTTGTATTTTTTTGACTGATTTTTATATTTATCAAGTACTTTTATGAGACAGCTTTATTTAGGTACTTAATTGTAATAGCTAAATGTTAATTTGACTCCAAAGCTTATAATCTCTAAAGGTTTACAAAATACAATAAGATGCTTAAGTTTTTGTGTGGACAACATTAGGCCTAAAAATTGTGATAAAAGTCATGCTAGATTACAGATATTTTGTTCCACACTGTTTTTAATTTATCCATTATGAGTTTTAAGTCAGAGGTATATAAAAATAGATGTCATTTTTGTGTGCTACAAGGCATTACACAGGAGGTCTTTCATTTAGTACTAGCACACACCAGCTGGGCTGGAGTATGGAACAAAACTTCTGTAGTTGTACTGTTTAGCATGGTTTATATTGTAATTATTAGGCTTATTGGGTTCCAGTACTTCATCTGTTCTTGGAATTCAAAACTGCAAATGATTTTAAGGAAAAACGTTTTGTGGTAGAGATTTTTTATCACATAATTGACATAATTGAAACATAAACTTTTCAAAATATGATACGTATCCAGTACGATGTCGTTAATTGCTCAAATTAATGATATGAACTTCTAAATATTTAAGAGAGAATAATATGCAAACACTTCAAGCTAATATTTTTATAGCATCATCTACATAAATCTATGTTGTGAGATTATTTTCATGTCTACAACAATTTGTTTTCTATTTTGTTTATACCAGTGTTAATGGTCTACTTCTCTGAGGTCTTGAATGAATGGGCAGCCAGGAACTGGAGGTGTGCTATTTTATTTATTATAATATAGCCAGTGTACATGTCCCATTGTTATCTTTATAGTCTTGAATCTATTTGCTCATACAATTCTGCCTTACAAAGCTTGGTGAAAAAAAACAACTCAATGATGCCTGTTTTGTTAAAGGAAACTTCTTATATTGAAATAATATATATATTTCTATAAATTTTCAGAAATTGTTACAATTATTTTATGCTCAAAAAGACTGTAGGACATCTCTCAGTGTAAATATTTTGCTTATTTTTGTAAGGTGATACATTTTGCGAACTTTTCTTAGTGTGTGGAAAAATCCCACTTTTGTGTGTGTGGGTGGGTGGGGGGGTTGCTGTTGTTTTTCAGATTAGTGTACATCGTGGGAGGAAATTTGAAAAAGAATCAAGTTTAACATTTTGAGAAATTAATTACAGTTTTTGACAATGGAATTGAATTCTACATTTCATTTAATACAAAAAACAAAAAAAATTGAGTAGTTGATGAGATTGGAGCAGATTTTAATGTTTCCTTATGAATGACAATTTATTTAACCACATTATGATAGTTTATTATTACTCTGATTTGATTCTACTACATGAGGTTACCTTGTCTCAACCTGACAATAATGTTAAATGTTTTTTAACAAATAAATGATAAAAGCAACTGACAAAAAATATTAAAATTACACTCAGCTGGAACTGGATACAGTGAGCCGAGTGATCAGGGTAACTGCTTCAGGCACAAAGCATAAAAATGGATTACCATGGAACTTGCTAGGAGGTGCAAACATGATGGCATGCCCTGGGTGCTAAATTTTGTAGTTACAGCCATGCAGAGAACAGTCAGTATTTCTGTCAAAAAAGGAATAAACTGTCAAACTCAGTAAATTGTGTTTTCAGCCTGATTTTTTATAATTTGTGTAAGTTATATTTTTGAACTAGTTTGTTTAGATCCACGGAATAAAATGTCAAACTTTGTTATCAGCCTATATATATATAGCCTTTGTACTTTACATTTTGAGTTATGGAAGTTTCAAGTGTTGTTATGAACTACTTTTGTACAAGTGTATTTGTGAACACTTACAACCCTCAAGTTTTTAAGACTTGCATGGTCTCAGACCTTGGCCTCTTTTGCATGCCTGCAGCAAGTACTTGGACAGTTTCAAGGCTGTGGTTATTTTTTTATATCAATTTTCATCTTTATAAACGAAATAAATAACTTTTATCCATTGAAACTCACCTGTGGTGTTATAACTATAGCAATGAATTGATTGCTTTCAAAATATAGTGTGTGAAGAATCCAAATACACACACATTTATCTATTTTTACTTTTAAACGTTTTTGTTCATTGGATATTTTAAAACTGGGTAATGATAATTTTACTATAAAATTTTTAATTGGAAAAGGTACATTTGACTTCTTTCCCCTTATAAATTGTTTGAAGATTTAAGGTTTTTGCTCTTTATATTCTTATCCCAAAACGTAGTGTTTATGAAGCCAAAAGCAATATTAGTTCAAATAATTATTAATGTAGAACAATGTCCTAGAGTTTTTTGTAATGTTAAAATATTCTGATATCAGGAATCTCAATGTATGATTTAGCATTAAAATAATACACTAGGCTTTTTATGTACCTACTTTATTTACTGCCTTACATGATTGAATTAAGTCTAGCAGCCATAATCTAATATTTAATTTTTTTCTCTACATGTATTTTGAATATCTTGCACCTATTACAGGCTCTTTGCCAGAGACCAGTATTTTGATAGCAGAGGGACCTTCTTTTCCACCATGATTGCTGCTCCATTGCTGCTTAATTGTCTATTTCTTGTGGTAGGTAAAATAACGCAGAAGACGTTTTTCATTTTAGATAAGCAATATTTTAAAATAGGATGAAACGTTTTAATAGTTATTTGAGGAATATGTGGATTTATTTCAACTCGTATTTTGGTTCATAGTCAGATCGGATTCTTGCTTATTTATTACTGTAATAAAAACGTTTCATCCTGTGAAGATGTTTTAAGTTTTATTGCATTGTCTGGGGATGTATATGTTTTTTGTTATTTATTAGACAGAAAACTTCTAAACTGTACTCAAAGTTGCTAGCCATCTGTTATCATGTTAACTACTGAGGATGCACGTGCAAGTTTAGCATTTGTTTGTATGTGTGTTAACGATGCAAATGTGTGTCCTAAATGAAAAATGTAAAGATTACATGTTTTAGATTTGCTGTTATTACTATTGTTTAAATTTATGTACTTACCTTTTTTTTTAGTATCTTTAGAAATAATGTTTATGATCTTTTCTTTCTGTATAAGAACACAAATGTTTTTGAACTTCTTTGAAAGCTGAATATTGATGTACTTTGTTTACTTCAAACTAATAAATGGATCATTCTCTTTATCTCTGGCCACATATATGTCAGATGTAAAACACACACACACACAAATGTTTTCTCAGTATGACAGGTTGGCCTATACACACAAGAGTAATATAAGCTTTTCTTTTTTAACAAATACAAAAACAAAGATAATTGTGTTAGTGAAACAAAACTTTCTATGTACATTTAGAAGATTTCAGAGTCTTCTACAAAATGAAAACTAGAAAGCCTGATCAGGAAAAAGTATTTTCACTGACTACATAAACTTTTGTTTTATCAAATATTGTGCTAATTGTTCTAAACAAAATTACAGATAAAAACTAGATTAACATATTCTGTTTTTGTTCCTTTAGTGGTTCTTACATAATTAAAAACACACTACCAAGTTTAATGCATACAGAACATATGGCACTTGTATTTAACTTAAGAGGTTAGTATGATATATCAGGTTACTGGATCAAGAGATATATTATTGTCTTTTGACTCCTTCATTATTTAATAATCCTGCTTTCATTTGTCATGCAATTATAGACCAACTAATATTTTTTTGCTTAAACTTTGTTTACACCACTGAATAGTGTTATATTTTATTAACACAGGGTCACTGGCTGTGGATCTCTGGGACCTTGTTGATAAAAGCAAAACAATCCCAGTTTAGGAGCAATCTTCATCGTCAACACACTCCTAGTGGTAACAGTCATTACAGACAAGCCCACGGTAGTGATAGCAGCTCCAAAAGTGACGTATCGGACTCTTCCAGCCATGAATAGTGTGAATAGGATGTTTGTGTAGTGACAGCCATTACAGATAAGTCCACAGTTGCAATAGTAGCTCCAAAAGTGACAACTTTATGTAACCATGAAAAGCTGTTTGAGGTCATGGAAGAGGTTTTTTTTTATATACACTAAGTATTGTATAAACAAATATTTCTAAATTATTTATGGTTAAAGCAAACATACTTCTAAAGGTTTTGTTTAAACAGTGAAAACTAGGCTTGGCATAAAACAAGAGAAGAGACATATACACATGTGAATTACAGTAGTAAAACATAATCTTCTTTGATGGTATGTCATCTTTAATCTTAACACACATTTCTGATTTTGTATAGCAGAACTATGTATGTAAAGAGATATAAATATTAATAGAATTCATGCTAAAGAACTCCAAGAAACAGCCAAAAGAATCATCTGGTAGTTTTTGTTTGGCATGAAACTGTGTTTTTTATTGGAAAGTTCTTAAGATGGTTTGGAATTAAGTGAACTGTGAGTGAGATGGGTAACTCTGATTCAGTATATGTAGTGTTTTTTATGTTAAGCATAATTTTAGAGGGTAGTATAATATAACAGGCACTGTAACATCGTGGGAAAAATACATGTATCAGTCTTCCTGTTGTAACTTAAACTTGTAGAATTCCATTCCATACATCAGTGCAATAACAAAAAAGAACAGACGCAAGCTCAAATGTTCTGAGGTAAATTTCAGACAGGTGTAAAGATGTTAGTTTTAAGTATTTAATATAAATATATATTTTAGATAAAGTCCTTCTAGAGGTCAAAGTTTATATGGTTTTAGACCACCTGAATAATAATAATATTTGTGTACTTAATGCATTGTCTCATACATGTAGAAAAAAAACCTTAAAAAAAAGGTCTTCTGATCCACTGTATAAGGATTTCAGTTTATTTCTTAAAAGATCGTCTTGGACTGTCAGTTGTCTGCATATTCTATTTTCTGGTTGAATTAAGAGTGACTTTTACACAAGTCACATGTGTTCAGATGAAAGGTTCCAGTTCTGCTACCAACTTTGAAGAAGTGAATGTTCTCAGAGTTAGTCTACAAACAAAGAACTGATTAGAATGTTCTGTTCTCAAGGAGTTCTGATGAAAAGATACTTTTAGAAATACGTATAATTGTTCTATTTCAAGAGTAAGTACTTTCATTAAGTGTCGGTAATGGCTCACATCTAACCTTATTAAACATGTGCCATGATTATGTATTATTTTTATTAAATGAAAAATGGCCTGGTTTATCAGTGTCCGTATGTTCTAGTGTTCATCCTCAAGTTCCTAGATTATCCATTGTGCCATTCAGATGATATTCTTTCTCTTTAAGGTTTTCTTCCCTTTAGTGTTTTGGGCAAGTTATTCTTGGCCGTTTTAATAAAGTTTATCATAATTTATTCTAGTGCTACATAGAATCAAGTTTTCAAAGGAAGATTGTCCTGTTATAATATATAGTACGTTTTATTTGCCTTGTTTGTTATTTTTAATGTAACATGGCACTCTAATCAGCAGTTTAAATATTTTTTTAATAGTGTCATTAAATAGTTGTGCATCATGTAACATTCAGACAATGTGAATATGTAATATGATTCTTACTTGCTAAAAATATACTTTAATGAAAGCCTGTAAAAAAAATTATGACCCATAGTTCCTTATCATTAATAAGAAATCTTCTTATAAACTGTAGTTATTAGTGAATCGGGTATTGTTGGAGTTTTATTTCACTCTTCTATTTGTTTTGTATATCATTTTAGTGTTCTTTAAAAAGTTACTTATAATTTCAAAATATGTTTTTTATCTTTTAAGTCAAGGTCCAATCAGAATAGTGTTTTATAATAAACATTTCAGTATTGAATAGAATTTATTGCCAAAAAGTCTTGTATAAATGTATATTAAATATATATAAATAAAATTATAAAAGACAACAGCAGTTTTGTTTTATATTTACGTTAATTCAATAATTATAGACTAAAAATTAATGCAAGTTGAAAAACAATTTTTGATTTTTCCATGCATAATTTATTATTGTTTACCAAGAGATGGCACTACATTAAATGAGAAATAACTTGAA